CCGCCGCCACTGCGGGAGGAGGGGGAGGAGGAGCGGGAGGAGGGACGAGCTGGTTGGGAGAAGAGGAAAAAAGTTTTGAGACTTTTCCGCTGCCGCTGGGAGCCGCAGGCGCGGGGACCGCTTGGCGCGTCGCCGCCCCGCGAGGAGGCAGGACTTGGGGACCCCGGACCAGCCCCCATCACCGCCTCGGACGCTTGTTCCTTCCCTGCCCCCTACACGGCGTCCCTCAGGCGCCCCCATTCCGGACCAGTCCTCAGGAGCCCCAAACCCGGCCTCCCGCGAAGAGAGGGCGCACGCCCCTGCACGCCGCTCTTTCCCCTCAGCCTGTCTCCTGAGTCCCCGCGCATCCTAGGACCCTTTCTCCTCCGGGAAACGGATCTCTCTCAGACCTGCCACAGCTCCCCTATTCAAGACCACCCACCTCCTGGTACTAGATCTCGCCCATCTCGGTTTTTTGTTGTTGGGCTCCTGAAACACCTCGGGTCAGAGCCTTTCCTCCGCCTTTGCTCCTTTCTCCCTGAAGGCCTCAACTTTCCCCCAGACCCTCTTACCTTTCCCCGGGAGACCCCCAGCCCCTGCAGGGGCGGGGCCTCCCCATCCCATCCCAGCCCTGTTCGTGCTCTCGGCAGTGCCGGGGGGCGCCGCCTCCCCCATGCCGCCCTCCGGGCTGCGGCTCCTGCCGCTGCTGCTACCGCTGCTGCTACCGCTGCTGTGGCTACTAGCGTAATAACTTCGTATAGCATACATTATACGAAGTTATCGTACACGGCGTCCCTCAGGCGCCCCCATTCCGGACCAGTCCTCAGGAGCCCCAAACCCGGCCTCCCGCGAAGAGAGGGCGCACGCCCCTGCACGCCGCTCTTTCCCCTCAGCCTGTCTCCTGAGTCCCCGCGCATCCTAGGACCCTTTCTCCTCCGGGAAACGGATCTCTCTCAGACCTGCCACAGCTCCCCTATTCAAGACCACCCACCTCCTGGTACTAGATCTCGCCCATCTCGGTTTTTTGTTGTTGGGCTCCTGAAACACCTCGGGTCAGAGCCTTTCCTCCGCCTTTGCTCCTTTCTCCCTGAAGGCCTCAACTTTCCCCCAGACCCTCTTACCTTTCCCCGGGAGACCCCCAGCCCCTGCAGGGGCGGGGCCTCCCCATCCCATCCCAGCCCTGTTCGTGCTCTCGGCAGTGCCGGGGGGCGCCGCCTCCCCCATGCCGCCCTCCGGGCTGCGGCTCCTGCCGCTGCTGCTACCGCTGCTGCTACCGCTGCTGTGGCTACTAGTGCTGACGCCTGGACAGCCAGTCGCGGGACTGTCCACCTGCAAGACCATCGACATGGAGCTGGTGAAGCGGAAGCGCATCGAAGCCATCCGCGGCCAGATCCTGTCCAAGCTACGGCTCGCCAGCCCCCCGAGCCAGGGGGAGGTGCCGCCCGGCCCGCTGCCCGAGGCGGTGCTCGCCCTGTACAACAGCACCCGCGACCGGGTGGCCGGGGAGAGCGCTGAGCCAGAGCCTGAGCCTGAGCCAGACTACTACGCCAAGGAGGTCACCCGCGTGCTAATGGTGGAAACCAAAAACCGTGAGCTCGGAGGGTCAGGGGAGTCGGGAGGTCGGGAGGGGGAAGCCCAGGGGGCGCCGTAGTGCAGGGGTCATGGGGACGAAATTACTGGCAGAGGAAACTGGCTGGAGGAAGAGGAGCCCCGGGGACGCCGGTAACGTGGGGAGGAGGTCTTAAAAAGGACGGCGCTGAGCTCCCTACCCCCCAGGTGTCTGATCTCGGGGAGGAGGAGATAGTGAGCCAAGTGGACCGCTTCAAGAGGGCGAGGAACGTGTGGGATTGTGGGGGAGCCCCCTAGAGGGAGAGGAGCACTTGGAGTGGGGTGCGAGTGGAAAAGTCTCCCCCCTCCAGAGCGCATTTGACGCGGGAGTAGGGGAGAGTGCTGCAGAGAAGGGAGCCCGGTCTTGCGAACACCCCGGCATTTGGGAAAGCAGAGGAGTGGGGAAAGCCAACCCAGAGTTCAGCGGTCGTGAGGCGGAAACATACAAGAAGGACGGAAAAGCTAGGCGAAGTGATCCCCAGGGATGCCAGGAAAGCGGAAAGTGGACCCACTTGCAGAGAGTGAGGAACACGTGGGATTGGGGTGGAGGGGTCGCAGAGAGAGACGGCGGGGGTGTGATAAATACGGGCAGGAAGGGACGCGAGGTCATTGGTAGGAGGCTAGCGGGAGAGAAGTAGAGACGCCAGGGGGATGCCAGGGATGCGCGGGGACGTGTCGGTGGGTGTTTTCCATAGGGACGTGAGAGATACAGAGCGGGGAGCCCAGAGGGCCAAGTGAGCCCCCAAGAAACCTAGAATACTGGCTCCTGGGAAATAATTTACGGAGAAGGGAGACCAGCGTGGGAAAGGTGGACCTGGGATGGGGACGAAGAAGAGATACCCAGCGCACTCATGCTGTGAGCGGGGAGCCCCCCACTCACCGCGAGATGGAAGGGAGGGGGCTAAGTGAGGAGTCGAGGCCTACGGGCAGCGATAGGTGGGGCGACTCTACAGCACCCGGGTGAGAAAACCGAGCTGATAAGGGTGAGAAAGCCCCACGTGGGCGCCACGCGCGAGGGGAGGAGCCTGCGCTTCCAGAAGGGGAAAGGAGGACCCCGCCGAACTAAACGCCGACAGCCTGGACCCCAAAGTCCCAGTTCCTCTCGGGGAGGCTGGGGAAACCCCAGCGTCCGGCCGCCTCGCCCTCCTCCCCTCCCTTTCCTTCCCGTGCCCGGGGGGCGGGGATCGCGCGGAGCCTGGAGCGAGACGGGGCAGGTCCGGTCCCCGCCCTCGCGGCTGCTTCGCCTCCCGCCCTCCTTACCCCGGTTAAGGGCGGGGCTACGGCTGAGTCCGCCCCGTCGGTGCCCACGCGGGGACCCAGGCGTCCCGCGTGGCCGGAGCTTTGGGGGCGGTCCCCTGGATTTCACTTTCTCTGCTGGATGGTGGACTAGCGGGTCCGTGGCCCATTCCTGCGCCAGTCTGCGGCTCCGGGCAAATGACGCCCCCTGTCCTCCCACATCTCGGCCTCTTTCTTTTCCGTCGCTTCACCTTCGTTGTAGACGTTACTTTAACACTAACAGCTCCAATCCTTTCCTCTCATTTGCCCTCCAAATGCATGTCTCTCTCCTTGCACGTGCCTCCCATCTCTGCCCTCTGCCGTGTCTCTCTCTCTCTCTCTCTCTCTCTCTCTCTCTCTCTCTCTCGCTCGTTTTCTCCTCCGCACCCCGCCTCCCCATGTTTCTCCATCTCTTTCTCTCTCTCTGTGCAGCATCCTCCAACCCTTCCTGTCCCTTCTTTTACTCCCTCCTTTTACTCTTCCTCCCTGTCTGTCACCCCCAGCCAAGGCTCTGCCCTTCCCTTGGGGTTTGAGAAATAACTACTGGGCTAAGAATAGGGCTTATGGGGGGGTGGGGGGTGGGAGGGCTGGTTGGGAGGGAGAAAGGCCAGTGGGCCCCAGGAAGGGTCGTCCTCCGTCCTTTCTTATCATATATGCTCTCCACCATTTTAGAACCCCCACTGTAGGAGGCCCAAAGTTGATCCAGACGTTCATGGCCTGCCCCTTCACCCCCAGCCCCGAACTTTTCTTAGACTAGAAAACGGCTCTTCTTAATTTTCTTTTTCCCCCTATAGCTATTCCTACCTAGAATGAACTTCACCTTCTCTAACCAGCTGGGAGTGGGAGTTAAGGGGAGGAAGCAATTAATAATAATAAAAATAATAATAGTGTCACACCAGCAGGGAGGCAGCAAAGCTTAGGGGTTAAGAGTACAGAACCTGGAACCAGATACCAGAGTTTGAATCCTATTCTACAGTTTCCTAGCCATGTGACCTTGGGGCAAATTACTTAATCTATTTGTGCCTCAGTTTTTCCATCTATTAAGTGGATATTATAATGGTATTGTCCTCATGGGGTTACTGTGAGGTTTAAATGTTTTCATCTTTGTAAAGATGCTTTGAATAGCACTAGGCAAATAGCATTGTTTAACATACAGTTTACTGAGTGACCAGTGTATGCCGACTGTGTGCCACATGCGTCACCTGCATCATCTCACACTATCATCCTGGAATTGGTTCTCCTCTTACCGATGAAGATCGGGCTCAGAGAGAGGAATTCACTTGCCCAAGGTTACATAGTGCATCCATTAGGAGAGCCTGGGTTGGAAGGCAGGGAGCTTTATGTTATTGTTGTTTTTCAAAGAATAACAAGAAAGTAAGTTTCAAAGAGGGTGTGTGAACTGCCCAAGGTTACACAGCTGACAGGCAGCAGAGGTACTATCTGATCCCAAAACTTGTGCCTTTGACCCTTACTTTGCAATTTAATTTGCATTTGAGGCTCCAAGCCCTGGGGAGGCCTTAGCGAGCAGAGCAGTTCCCCTTTGGTACCACTCATATACTGGGTGGACACTTGGTGGATGACACTTCTCTCTTCCTGGGAGAGAAGGGTGGTTAGGACCACTACAGAGGAGGAAGGAAACCCAGTGGGGAAAAGCCACTCCCCCAGGGTTACACAGCTAAAAAGTATCAGGGTCAGACTCCAACCCAGAGCTGTCAGCTCCAGAGCCTTAGATTTGGGGTTTACCAGCTCCCCCCACTTCTGCCAACCCCCTGACATCCTGTCTCTCTGTTCCTCCCGCCTAGCAATCTATAACAAAATTGAGCACAGCCCACACAGCATACATATGTTGTTCAACACATCAGAGCTCCGAGAAGCAGTTCCTGAACCCGTGTTGCTCTCCCGGGCCGAGCTGCGCCTGTTGAGGCTCAAGTTAAAAGTGGAGCAGCACGTGGAACTGTACCAGGTGAGGACATGAGCCAAAGGGGTGGGGACATCAGCCACAGAGGGCTAAGCTGTGGCCAGATGGGATGATTGCAAGGCTGCTGGTTGCACAGTCCACACATAGACAGTCCCTGAGGGATGAAGGAGCATAAACCATATCCTAGGGCCCTAAGGTTCTTTTAAATGTTCAGACTCTTTGCATCCTGGGATGTTAAATACTTAAAAGGCTGGAAGCTTAGGAGTTGGACTCTTTAAAAACACAGGACTATTGAAAGTTGGAATCTCTGGAAAGGTTGGAGGCTTTAGAAACTCTGTGTCCAATATAGTAGCCACTAGTTGCATTTAAGTTGATTAAAATTTAAATTGACCAAAATTAGGGCCGGCCCCGTTGCTCACTTGGAGAGTGCGGAGCTGGTAGCGCTGAGGCCGCATGTTCAGATCCCATATAGGGATGGCCAGTGTGCTCATTGCCTGAGTGTGGTGCAGACCACACCATGCCGAGGGTTGCGATCCCCTTACCAGTCAAAATAAATAAATAGATCAAAATTAAATATTTCAAGTGCACTGTAGTCATGTGGTTAGCAGCTGCCTTTTTTTTTTTTTTTTTTTTTTTTTTTTAAAGATGACCGGTAAGGGGATCTTAACCCTTGACTTGGTGTTGTCAGCACTTTATGGGATCCGAACCCGTGGCCTTGGTGTTATCATAACCACACTCTCCCAAGTGAGCCACAGGCCGGCCCCAGCAGCTGCTATTTTGGATGTCACAGATAAAGAACATTTCCAGAAAGTTCTTTTTGGACAGCACTGCTCTAGAAGATATGAAATCTCCAGGATTGGGGCCTTCGGAAGGGCTGGAGTCTCTAGAAGCTTATGTGACCTAGAATCTATGTCATATGGAATGTTGGATGCTAGATGTTTGACTCTCACAATAAGAAAATGTTGTCTAATATTGGCTTCTTGGAGTCTAGAGAATTCAGCTTTGTGCCATAGCCTCTGGAGTATTATATCCAGCCCTTGGAGTCATTCCACATGCATGTCACACGTCGACAACATCTAGGTGTGTGGCATGTCAGACTCTTGGATTTGTAGAACATTAGTCTCCTAGAACTTCTCAGGCTCATTAAATGTGTAGTTCTTGGGATGCTGTGGAACATGGGAATTGTAAAATGACTCCTAACATAAGTCCTTAGAAAGTTATAGACTCTCAGAATTCGAGGTGTCAAATTTGCTGAACCATATACTCAGCAAACCACAGAATGTTAATGCAGAGTCTCTTAGCATTGTGGGCTGTCCGAGCGGAAAGTGGCCTAGCATTTCACCAGTGAGGAAACTGAGGCCTAGGGAGGAGAAGAAAATGCTCACGACCCCTCAGAGAGTCAGGGGCAGAGGTTGAGCTGCCCCAAGGTGCCTTGGCCCCTGCTTGGGGCTCTTTCTCCAAGTGTCTTCTTAGAGGCACTTGGATCCTACAGGGCCCCAGAGTGTGTCTGTCTGGGAGGGTAGTGTCTGAGAACTGTCTGGAAGCCTGTTTGGGGGAGCAGATGGAGTGAGGGGTATAGTCTGTGTATGTGGGGGGCGTGGCAGCATCTGCCCACTGTCTCTTCCCTCATTCATTGTCTAGCAATACAGCAACAATTCCTGGCGCTACCTCAGCAACCGGCTACTGACCCCCAGCGACTCGCCAGAGTGGTTGTCCTTTGACGTCACTGGAGTTGTGCGGCAGTGGCTGAGCCATGGAGGTGAAGATCGCTTGTCTGCCCCTCCCCTGTTTCTCAGTGGGTTGACCCATTGGGGTCACCTTGCCTAGCACCCCCCACCCCCTGTTGGTACCAAAGAGCCGAGACCTGGCCCTCCTTCCTGACACTAAAACCTGAGTGATTAACTGATGAATCCATTAATGGTTAACCCAATGCCCTAGCACCAGCTCTCTGCCATGCCCTGTGCTAGGTGATGCTGGAGACACAGCAGTGACCAAAACAGCTCCATCCTGTCCTCACAGAGCTCATGGTCCATGGGGGAGGGGCAGATCTGTAACCAGGCAATGATGACCCAAAGTGGGTAGGACTGGGATGGGGAGCCCAAAGGAGGTGCCTGACACAGGCTGGAATCAGGGACGGCTTCATGGAGGAAGGGACATCTGAGCTGATGTCTGAGAGATGAGTAGAACCAAGCAGGAAAAGGAGAGGCAAAGTATTCTGGGCAAAGGGAACAGCCTTTGCAAAAGCTCTGAATTTGATCTGTCCAGGTAGGGATTATATCTGTCCCGTTCCAGGCTGAGTCCACAGGGCCCATGTCTCCCTTCCTTATCTCCCTCTCATTCATGCCTTCATTCCATAAATGCCAACAGGTTCTTGCTCTATGCCTGGCCCTGTGCTGGGTGGTGTGGGGAGCACAGTGGTAACCAAGACAGGTCTGGGTCCTGTCTTCACAGTGTCCACAGTCATTTCTGGACACTTGGGAGGTCTTGGTAAAGATCTACCAGGCAGTAACAATCTGGAATGATTAAGGCTGGGATAGGGGAGGCACAGGCAGAGGGGTCAGGGCCGGGATGGGGGTAGGGGTACATGCAGAGGAGTCAGAGCTGGGATACAGGAGGCACAGGCAGAGGGGTCAGGTTGGGATGGGGAGGCCCAGGCAGAGGGGTCAGGGATGGGATGGGGAGGCACAGGCAGAGGGGTCAGGGTGGGATGGAGGAAGCCCTAAATGCTGTGTGGGAAAGCGCTCAGGCTTATATTGACATCTCAGCTTACTTTTTGCCACCTGTGGTGACCTTGGGCAGGTCACTGCCTCTCTGTGCCTCAACTTCCTTGTCTGTAAAATGGGGCATCTGGATGAAGATTAATGGAGACAATGTACATAGGGTGTTCAGAACAGGTTCTTGCACCCAGTACACAGTAGATATTTGTTTTTAAGACTGAGGTTCATGCCCAGTGGGGAAGAAGAAAAACAAAGCTCCCTGTCCCTGCCCCCACCCCCTGCCATGTATCCTGCTTTCTACTGAGAACAATGAGAGAAATAAATAGCCAAACACATGTCAGAGAGGGTTTGTGCTATGGAGAAAAACAAGTGATATTATAGTTGGGGAGGGTTGTGTGTGCTGGAAGTCCTCTTTGAGGAGGTAACATATGAGCTAAGACCCCAAGGAGGACGAGGAACCGGCGATGCAAAGGACTGGAGCAAAAGAGCTGCAGAGAAGGGGAGAGCCGGGGAGAGGCCGGAAGGAGCCCCTAGGGTTTGCTCCTTCCTTCCTCTTCTCCTAGGGCTGTGAGCCGCACACTCAGACTGGCTTTCCTCTCCCCACTCCCACAGGGGAAATAGAGGGCTTTCGCCTCAGTGCCCACTGCTCCTGTGACAGCAGAGATAATATACTCCAAGTGGACATCAATGGTGAGGCCCACTTTCCTGTCCCAGCTTCATGCCCAGGAGTGATCCGTGTGTGTGTGTGTGTGTGTCTGTGTGTGTGTGTGTGTCCCCATCTGACATCCTCCCCACCAGAGTGTTTGTATGTCCTCCACCCCCGACTCCCAAACCAGGGTTCAGTAATGGCCGCCGGGGTGACCTGGCCACCATTCACGGCATGAACCGGCCCTTCCTGCTTCTCATGGCCACCCCTCTGGAGAGGGCCCAGCATCTGCACAGTTCCCGGCGCCGCCGAGCCCTGGACACCAACTACTGCTTCAGGTGAACTTTTTAGATTTCAACTGAGGCCTTCCAGGCTGGGGCTTGACTGCTGTCTGCTGACCAGGCCCTATGGGTTGGATACCTGGCTGGTGCTGTGGTTGGGCTGAGTGTCTCCTTTAGCCTGGAGGTCTCCAGGGATGAGGTCCAAGACCTGGAAGGCTGGGATGTGGGACAAGTTGTAATGTTGGGGTCAGGTTGCTTTCTTGCTGGAATGTTGGAATCAGAGAATGTTAGAACATTGAACACTGAGAATTTTAGAATTCAAAGTTGGAAAATCACCATATGGGATTTCCAAATTGTTGGCAGGTTGTGATTCTAGAATGTTGGGATTCTAGAATGCTAGAATTTGGTGTTAATTATTGAATTCAAGAATGTTGGACTTGGGGCTGGCTGGTTAGCTCACTTGGTTAGAGCATGGTGTTATAACACCAAGGTCAAGGGTTTGGATCCCTGAACTGGCCAGCTGCCAAAAAAAAGAATCTTGGACTCAAAGAAAGCTGAAATGTTGGGATCCTAGAATTTGGGAATTCAGAATTGGCAGATTGCCTCTGTTGTATTTCTACACTATTGGCAGATTGTTGTCTCCAGTGTTGGCAGATTGGCGTCCTTGATTGTTGGGCTCAGAATGGTAGAATCCTGTGTTGAAATATTAGCATCCACAAATGTTGGAGTTGGAGAGGAGAAAGCCAGAATATTGGTATCCTAGAATGTTGGAACTCAGTGCTGGAATGTTAGCATCTTGGAATGCTGGGATCTTAGAAAGTGATGGGTTGGACCTCTTGAGTGGTGGGCTCAGAATTGTGGAATGTTGGAGTGTAGTGTTGAAATACTTGGATGCAAGAATGCCAAGGTCCTCAAGAGTTGGAAAGTGTGAATCCTAGAAAGTTGGAAATGCTGTCAGAATGTTAGAATCTTTTTTTTTTTTTTTTTTTTTTTTTTAAAA